CTCCCAGCCTGGCTAGGCTGGTCAAGCTGGTGTTAGCAGGTCATCTCCCAGCCTGACCAGCTAAGACCAGCCTGAAAATGGCCAAAACCCCTCTAAAACCAGCCTGGTCGACCAGCTTAAACCAGCCAACCAACCTAGGCTGGTTTAAGCTGTTTTTTTTAGTAGGGTTATCACGCGATTAAAAAAATATCTGCGTTAATCTATTCTCAAAGTTGGTTTGGAAGCTGCATCTATTCTACGCAAGATATAGTGACTTACACCTTGATATTTTAGCGCGGATGTATACCTGACCGGTGAGCCGTCTGACAAAAGTGGCCTCCTGAATCAAATCAGCAGGATGCCTGACTTTAACTGCAGTTCGGCAGTTTCACTTTCACTCATGAACATTTCAGTCATACTGCTGTGACAAACTGGGGTATCAAACACAAATAAAGAGTATTTGGTGAGAGTGATATGAAATTTATTAAGTGTTTATATGTTTTATAGTAGGGGAAGCCCTAGCGCATGTCCTGAGTGAGGTGCATTATGTCAGATGCTCTGGGGATCGAGAAAGTAAGATTGTGGTTTAAAAAAACTTTCCTTTGGCGTATTCCCTACCATTTTAGATCTGTTTTAGATCTTGTCTTGAAATCGTGAAAAACTAGGGGGGGCTGTATTATACTTTTTAGAAATATTGTTTGTTTTTAGTTCCTTTGTCATTTATTTCTCATTTGCTTTATATATTTATAGTTTGATGATGTTTATATATTACATATTTTTTTACGTATCTAATATGTTTTGGCAATACTGTAGCAGCAGCAGATTTTACTTGCCAGTGGGTGCAAATGGCTCCTGAATAGAACAAAAGTAAAACAAATTATGGATTTCTTTTTTTATTTAAGTATATATATAAAAAAACCTACTAAAAAGAAACAGTGTGTAATAAATGATAGTAAATAAAAATATTTTTAATTTTTTTTTCTTTTTTTCGCATGTAGGTAAGCATGTGCCAAGGATAAAAAGAATATTTTAAACCTGTGGGAAGCACTGTATCTCATGAATGCTTCATCCCAAATGGATTTCATTAAGCAAAACAAAATTATGTGGGAATAGACTGATTTCACGCAGCCGCCATTTTTAAAAGCGAAATCGAGACTGCAGTGAGAGGAAACCCGGAAGTATCGTTGGGAGTTACATAGGAACGTTGTGTACCTCGCTGTATATCTTATTAGAGAAGAGAAAGTGACACAAACTTATAATTTCACCGCCTTCCGAGTGACCCGAAGGTCCGTTCTAAATAAATGGTGAAAATAAAAAGGGATATCAGAGCTCATTTTCAGCTAATTTAAGGGAAATGGCACTAGTTATCTAACGTTTTCTTTCCCAAACACACGTTTTAGATGCCATTTATCGAACTCGAGTTAATGAACTGATTCTTTCACTATATTAGACTTGTCACGATACTGAATAAAAGAAAAAACATCAATTTCCCACTAACGTTTAAGGCACTGTTGATCGCTTTCTTAAAACAGCGCTGATTTGCCATTGTGTTCACATGCTCAACAGAAATGAGTGTTATTGGCCGAGAAGCTCATCAGTTCACTCTGCTGTTCAAACACAGACGACCGATCTTCTTGATGACTTAACTGATTTTCACAGCTGCTTCATGCTCCAGTCTCCATGTATCTGTGTTTGCACTGGGTGAAGAGCGTTAAACTGATGAGCACTGGTGAATACTATGGTAAATCAGCGCTGTTTATGAATGCCCTCAGTGGCGCTTGAATGTTAGCAGGAAATACACATTTCTAAAACTTCAGTACCAAGACAACACTATTAAAGACAATGCAAGAGTGCTACAGAGGACTGCAGGGTTTTATCGCTCACCGGGTTACATAGGCTGAAGCAGGAAAGCGTCCCCATGGTGTTTAACTGGTGCCATGAACTGAAGCCTATTAGGACACTTGAGCATATTACTCTTAAAGAGATTGTGATGTTGATTGATGCTAACTTGCTTTTAATTGTTTAAATTAAACCAAACTGAATAATATTCAATTATAATAAGTGATGTTTACACCATTTCTCCATTTTGTAATCTCTGCAACTGCTGGAGGTTTGTAGTCCACAGCATGTTACTGCAACTTTTACAGTACTGGTCCTATGCTTCCTGGTTTCATCCCATGTAGCTTTGGTTCTTTAAAATGGCAACCACGTGAAATAAGCGTATAGCTTAGGTCACTGTTTACTATGTAGTATTTGATCTTAAAATTAAAAACTCCAATCTCTATACTGATTTTTTTATTTTGTATTGTAAATTGTAGGATGAGAAGTTGGATGCCACCTGTAGGAGTCTTCAGCTTAGTTGTCTGACGTCATCTCTTCTAAGTCAGAGCAATATCTTGACTAATAGCTCTCTGTCATTCCATACCTGTGAGTACAGACTAAAGCTAAAATCTCTGAATTTAACTTGTTAGAAATACTAGAAAATGTAGTTGCTTCACATTTATATTGCTTTTTGGAGAAACTGTATATTTGCAATGAATGCCAATCAGGATTAAGCCATTTTTATTTTAAAATAACAAATGAAGATTTATTTTCATCCAGTTATGAGTGAGCGTTTTATCTATCGTTACTGAGGCTGTCCTTGTTTCTACAGTATTTACCACAAAAAAATAAATAAATAGTTTGTATTGGCATGCTTTTTTACTTGTAGGAATGCAAACTTTTAATGTTTTAGTTTTATATATTGCTACATGTAAACAGTAGTGTTACTCTGGTTAAGTTTTTGTAATTTGCATATATTTTGAAGGTTCAGTATATGAGTTCTTAAAAGTGTCTTAAAACAGGTCACATTTATCAATGGTAAGTTTTAGCCTAAGTTTACATCAATAATAATGTGCATTGTCCTTTACCATACAAAAAAGGAAAAGAAAAAAAAAACATTATTATACACCATAGTAGCCGCAAATCTTTTTAAATGCATTAAAAAGCAAGCACATATCTTAGCCTTACCTTGAGTTTGTTCACATTCTGCCTGTATTAACATAAACGCTGTATTTTATTACAGCTCATTTTGATGAATTAGCTCTAACTGACAGCTTTTTCTTTTTTTTTCGCGGTTATGCGGCATTATATTTTACACGTATATGCAAGGTGACTGAAATTGAAATTAAAATACAAAACATACTGAGCCATTAAGTAAAAAACAAAACAAAACAACAGTTATAGCATCTTTAAAGGAGAACATTGACGTTTTGAAAAAAAAAAAAAAAACTGAACTAAAACTAAATTATTAAAAATAAACCTGCGAGACTTAATTTATGTCCTGCTGCAAAATTATTTTTATTATACTTTTAGTGATCTGCTTAAGGTAGGTCAATTTATTTTTTTTTGCTTTTGGTGAAGCAGCTTTCAACTTAAGCTCTTTAGACCATGCCCCTGACCGTTTCTCAGTGTTTCGCCGCAATATCTTTAAATAAATTATTTATTTAGGCCTATTTTCATTATTAATTTATTTTCATTATTCGTTTATTATTATGTACAATAATTCAGACATAAAATAAGGTAGTAAAATATAATCAACAACGAAAATGTAAATAAAAACATAAATAAAAACATAAATGAAAAAGTCTTGTCTTAGTCCTATCAAAATAGCAAACACTGAACATCTCTCTATATTTAGGCTAAAAGACTGCTTTATTTATTTATTGAGGACTACTTATTTGTACTGAATGTTTGTGCTTTCATGTTAGGCTAGTTGTCTTTTATTTCTTCAATTCCAAAACGAGTCCTCTTTGCATTTAAAAAGTTTACAATAAAGCGTGTTAGCAAATTTTAAATGATTAATGAAGGAATTATAATGCTTTGACTTATTGTTTAATCTAATTTACAAGCACAGAAGCATATTTAAAGCTGCTGTAAAGGCTATTTCTTTCCGTTCGCATCCTGTCCCTTTGCGCCCCCTGGCGGCTTATTCACAAACTGCGGTCATACACTAAAAACAGAGCGGCAGTTATTTCAAACGGCAGCGGTATAAGGCACAGCGGTAATAGTCACTTTGAACTCTCACCTACTGTATGCTGTGTCCCAATTCGCATACTTATACTCAGGCCTTTACATTAACACCTGCCAACCCGCCAAATGCGGGTAGATTTCAGCCCTGGTGGGTTAGACAGACAGCTCCACTAGCCGCTTTGGCTGGTTGGAAATCATTTTCAAATTGTAGCAACGGGTGCGATCTGTTCCCTTTGAAATACACTGGACAGAGATCAATGATCGTGCACCCACAGTCCTGCTGCTTTCAAGAGCTCAAGAAAAAAAAACACATATTCTTTTATAAGCAGCAGAAGTCACTGCTTTCATTTTAATTATTCTTAGAAGAGATTATTAACAGGCCTAACATTAACCGTGTGCTCTGTATGTTTCACCTGCTTTCTTTCGCTTACAGTTGTTTTTGTTAATATGGTTTAATTAACATTTTTTTTACAATAACATAGCTTTAATGTATAGAAGGTAAATCCTGCCAATTTTAAATACATCAAATAAACATTGGAAATGAAAATGAAAATCAGATTAACAATTTCATTTTAAAACACTGTTCGCAAAATATCTGCCAAAATTGAAAACAAAATGAAATTATTTAATTTTCATTTTCACTTTGACAACACATCGTCCCTGTCAAGTTGATAATTAAAATGAAGTTGCCAATTTAACATTTCATTTTCACTGCATTTCCGCGTCAAGACTGCCAATATTAAAATAAAAAGCCAAACTGAAAAATAAAATGCAAACACAATTTTTACAAAGCGTGGTATTAATGTTTACGCTATAATAGTGACAATTCAAATTCAAATGTAAATTTAAGCTTTCCTTTTATTCATAGTAACTCACGCTGTCCCATCCATCAAAACCGTGCTTCTACCCTTGGGCTCTGTCACAGTGAAAGCACTCGACGTCACTTGTATACGCCCCTCCCGCTGATTAGCATAGGCTTTGCATACAGCTTGAAGTTGAAAATGAAATCGAAAACGAAAGCTGAAATGAAAAAGTGTCAATAAAAGGAAAGCTTAAATTTACATTTGAATTGTGTCACTGTTATAGCATTTAACATAAAGCATTTAGCATAACATTAATACCACGCTTTGTAAATATTGTGTTTGCATTTTATTTTTCAGTTTGGCTTTTTATTTT